CAACTACTATGGCAGACGACTTCGGACTAGGTGCGTTCTACTAAGTTGCCCTGACAACAAGACCAAGTTGTAACAACGAGGTCAACCCATTTCTATTAATAAATTTGGCCCAACAAAAACTGATAGAGAAAAGACTTTGTATTTGTTCTCTAGGTCTTAAGGTCCCTACGAATCCGTGCTGAGCTTTTGTCTGTGATGAAAAAGGCACTACCCGACGCAGAACCTATCATTTCAGAAAAGTCACACAAACACCAACGAATTTTTTGGTTCGGAGAGATAAGACTCAATCTGATGTACTTTTTGGCTACTTACACGTGAGTGTATTATTGCAATCGACGACGTTATTTATTTTATTGGTAATTCTGGAATAGCAAGCTCAACTTATCGTAATTATCAGTCATTTTGTTAAACTCTTAATTTATTATTATCACTTGAACAACTTTAAGCCACTTAAGGTGATTAAGCTCCTATTTAAGAATTAATTTTTATCCAAAAACTACTTAAAATGAAAATAAGTAACCTCGCCGATTGCAATAACAAACAGATGCTTGATCGAAGATATGAAGACCAAGATGGTGCGGCCTTTTGTGTGGTCGAAGTGTGCTTTCGTTGTATTTGAAGTTGTTTGACCTTGTTTTCACAACTTGGTCATATTGGCAGGAAGACTTAGAGAAGCGCACAAAGTCCGGAGACCATTGTATGCATGATAATCTCCAGAGACGGACCGTGGATGGTGTGGCAGAGGTCGAGTGAAATACTTAAACCAGAGAGATAGCAGACGGATCCTACGGGGCAAGAGGGAGACTCTGATAAGACCTGTAGAAAGGAGACTGCGTAACTATAGGGCAGACTCTGATCAACATTCCCAGCACAAGGGTGAAGAGGGGTGAGAACTCCAGCGTGGTGTGTAGAAGGTTTTCATGACAGCCGCTCAAAATGGCCCAACATACCACATTTAAATAAGCAAGTAAAATATTGTGATAGTGAAGGCGTGACACGAGGATATAGGATTGGTGATAAGTCCAAGGAGGAAGGAGAGATACCACGATTGTTTAACAGACAAATGGTCAAAGAATTGCCCCCCTTTGTCTTTTTAAAGAGTTGAGGCGTGGTGCTAAGAATGGCAAGACTCACTGACGATGCCAACTACGGTGCCGGCGAAACGTCTGGGAATGTACCACGTCCACGGTCCGACTTTGGAAATGATTATGCATGCAATGGACTCCGGACTTGGTGCGTTTCTCTAAGTCTTCCTACCAATATGACCAAGTTGCGAAAACAAGGTCAAACAACTTCTAAACAGATGTTTGTTTTATCAACAATCCCACTAGATAAATGTGAGTTGGAAAAGACCAGATTTGTCTTAAATGTTGCATCTGTCCTGTAAACAACTGATGTTTGTGACCGTCAAGTGGGGAGGAGTGGTGACATTGCCACAAGAGTCCCGAGAAAACATAGAATCCCACTAGAGGTGTTGCTAGGACCATTTCAGTTGGGGTCGAAACTTGAGTCCAGCCTGTATGAGATAGCCACATTGGATGCAAGGCTAAGTCAAATTCACTTGCATTGTGAGATTTATTTATTTCTTTGTAGGAAAAACCCACCGAACAGTATTTAAATCGACTTAAGCGACTTGGGATGACTAAGCCAACTTAGCTTTGCCGCAGTTTAGACCTCGCCTCATCAGCGTCCTATACTGGATTCAGAACCTCTGATTAAATTTCTAAATAAAAATAATTAAATGACTGTAAACACATTCACACTAAAAATGAAGAGAGATAAAATTGAATTATATAAGAGCTGGATTCACCCCCATTTCGTTTGAGATGAAGAAGAACTGGTAGTGAATTTTTCCACAATCAAATGAGCAGACCTCTTGTCCTTCATTACCGTAAATGAAATAGGGTGAACACATTTCATATATACAATCTACTGGTAGCCTATAAAACCGGCTTATAAAATCAAAATTAAAACAAAATTTTTTGCTGGCCCAGCGATTTTGGCATCTTCCAATCTGGTTACAATCATTCAATTCTTTATGGCCGTCCTTTCTGGCTCATCCTGGCATACCTTTATTTCTCGTATTTAAGTAGCGGTTCGAGACTACCGGTAAATCAGTATTATGAGATATATTCCCCATATTTCGCTTAAGGAGATGAAGGACTGACAGTAGAATATTCCCACAATGATCCGAGTAGAGCTGGCGTTTTCATTGAATTTTGCAGAGCCTTGCTTTCCCAAAAGTTATTCTCATTCAGGCTCAAGTGGACTGCAATTTCGACCTCGCCTCGTCTGGGTCTTATCAGCACTCAGCGGGAGTCGAACCGTGGCAGTGTAGCATGTGAACTTGACACGTTAAACACTCGGCCACATTGCCACGAGTGCCCTTGTGTCACAGGGCGGATGTGAATTTCAAGGAAGGCCAGGCATATCACATTCTTTGGTGAGATTGTCGATTTATCAAACTCATTTTTGCTATAACAATCAACTACATTACTTATATACGAAAAACATGTAATGTAGTCGATTGTTTGGTTCATCAACAACCCAACAGGAGAATGTGATAGGCGAAAAGGCCTGGCCTTTCTTGAAATTCACATCTGTCATTTGACCCAGAAGACACTCGTGGTAATGTGGTTAACGTGTCAAGCTCACATACTGCACTGTCACGGTTCGACTCCCGCTGGGGGTGTTGATAAGACCCAGATGAGGCAAGGTCAAAACTGCAGTCCACCTTGGATCAGAACAACTTTGGGGAAAGTAAGGCTGTGTGAAATTCAATGAAAACGTCAGCTCTACTCGGATCATTGTGGGAAAATTCTACTACCAGTCCTTCATCACCTTTAACGAAAATGAGTGGATATATCTCGTACTTTTATTTCGTCTAAAAGGTTGAATAGGAGAGATTACTTCCCCTGCTTGTGTTGAAAATGGCTGCTAGTTGAGATTATTATTCGAGAATTACCAATAAATATGAGAATGAGTCATATCAAAAATAGGTAACTTCATCGAGAGCCGTCATAAATTTGCTTCATCATACAGGGAAAACTTGTGACTGTTGGATTGTGCTTAAAAAGCCTCGATTCACTCTCCTGAAACCACTATGAATCCTAGAGTCTGTTTTGGGCACGAATTTTTCAACTGACCCATGAGCATTTCATACACACGCTTATTTTACTTTAGGAAATAACTGCGAAAACATATCCGCTCTCCTTGTATGCATCTTCTTCACTCATCTACATGTATGTAGGGTAGGCACAAAGTAGGTCTTCGAGACTATTACTATATCATATACAGGCGAAGTATTCACTCTATTTTGTGAAAGTGACGAAGGACCGTTAGTTGAATTTTCCCACAATAATGAGTAGACTTTATGCTTACAGTGAATTCCACATAGCTTTTTTTCCAAAAAGATATTCTCATCATATAATGCCTCACTCATTAAGATCGCAAAGTTAAGCATAAGAAGTGAGTGGGATTTCAGTCAGCCATCGTTTTGAGTTTCGTTTTTTTGATAAATTTTAGTAAATGATGGCTTTGGCTCTGACGAATTCCGTCACATGACAGACGTAATATCACCCCAGACTCATCGGAGTGTTGTTCGCACAGTCCAGTAGTCACAAGTCCAAAACATCTTCCTTCGGTATCTCGTGTGACTAACTTACGAATATCTCCATCCGCCTTTTCGAACTAAATGAAAAAATGGATTCTCAAAATCCCGGCCCATATTCAAAACTATTACGACTCCTTTTTCTGCTCATAACTTTTTTCTTCTCATTTGCATTTATTAATCTAAAAATGGTGTATTCTCTCTTGTTTCCATGACTGCGTGTGCCATTCAGAAGATTGCATGAGGGTGTCATGGTGAGTGATGAGAGAAAAACGGGTTTCCACCCCCCTCTCCTGAAGGGTTACGGACATAAAGAACCTCACCTTTTGCTGTACACTTAGCCGGCCCACTTGAAATGCAGTCACATATTAATAATGTCACAAGGTTGAGCCTGAAAGCAGCTCAAATATTTGCCATCACCGTTGATCCTAATTTCGCCAAGGGTCCAGTTACCACGACCAGGCTCAGACGTGGCGGTGAGTGGTCGAGTGAGACGGGCGAGAGAGAATGACAGGCCTGGATACACAAGTGGACGGTACGGATAGACGACTTGAGAAAGAGGTGAGGGCGATCTAAAGTGGAGAGGCACTTGAGTTTGGCTGTAGTTGCCCTTTTCCCTAATCCGGTCCAAATTTGAAGAGCAAATATGAGCAAGCAAATCCACCTCAAGGCTAAGTTTGAGGGCTGTTCTTGTTCTGGTCAAATTAGCCATCCTCTGCAAGCAAATTTGTAGGCAATCCAGTCGTGTTGGACTTTATCCAGCAAAGGGTTCATGGGCTATTCACACTCGGAAACAAAGCAGGCATGTGCTGACACTTTCCCGATCACCAAAGTGACAAAAGTATGCCGACAAGATGTGCGGAAGAAAATGTACCTTCCAATCAGACGAGTTTCACAACATGGCAGAAGATAAAAAATTGTGACATGAATTTCCATTTCGAGAGGAAAGTTGGTTAGAAGAAATTCGTGAAACTGTAGGAGGATTGCCATGGAGTGAAGACTGTTGTGCTGTGCGAAGCAGTCCTCGACTCACAGTCCTACGACCGCGAACTGTGGCAGATATAATCGGAGGAAAAATGCATATTTTACGAAAGAGAGCAAAATATACTGAACCAAGAAAAAAGTCTGCAACATTATTCGTTGTATTATGCACCTAGCATCGTCACTTTAATAAGGCATCCCATGATTTGAAGTTGTTTGACCTTGTTTTCGCAACTCGG